AGTTGTCTATATAACATGTGCGTAAGGGCTCAAACAATGGAAATCAGTGTCATCTGAGTCATTGAGTTAAAACTTTATTAAGCAGCATTGTATGTAAACTAGGCTTTAGATAAAAGATCAAAAGGATATAGATTTCAGTCAAAGTGTTAAGTATCTATATTTTGAATAACAATTTGTAAGACATAATACCATGGGCAGAGTCAGTGTTTATGTAAATTGGTGAGTGTGGCATTGAAAGTAGGGGCTGAGGGGGCTGAGTAATGAGTCAACATAGTGAGAAAGCAGGAAGAACTATGTAGATGAATGTGGGAAATAAACATCGAGGTGAATCAGGTTACATACCTGATATCAGGTTAAATACCATCCTAGGAATTTGAATATCTCTTAGAGACAACAAACATTGAAGTCTTCCTGGCAGCAGAGCTTTGTTTCTGGCACTTTCATGAATTAATGACCTCTGAACTCAAACAAAGATGAATAGATCTGGAAATAATCAGGAAAAAGTGACCTTAAATAAGTAATCAAACAACGGGGAGTTTTTATCTGATCAATCCTAGAAGTCTCTACCAATCAAACTGCAAAGGATACACAATGGATGTTTATTAAATCTCATAATATGGTTATAATTTAATAATTATATAACAACAAAATGTCATAATATTAGAACATAGAGACTCTTCAGACTAGAAGTGGAAAGTATTCAGATAAAGGAGGAAAATTTTAATATTTTCTTTACAACTAGTTTCATAAATTTGTTCTGTCCAAGCAGAATGTGTTAATAGAAATATGAAGATTATATACACCAATTAACTTATTAAAGAAGTCAATGCATTTTTATTTCCCTAGGTTTCCAAGGTAATTTTCTTTAAATAGTCCCCTCTTTAATACTTAGTAACCTTTTTACATTTTCTAAATTATAAATTTAGCACACTTATCATATGTTATTTTAAAATATTTGCTACACTGGGATAGTATATAAAAAATATTTGCTCAGTGGAAAAAATATATCTATAAAGGAAAACAGATTTTAAATACTTTTTTAAAGATTGTCAGTACAACAACTGGATTAAATATTGCAGAATATTAAATCTAGGGTAGCTGTATGTGTTCACTACCTTTTTATAAATTCATAAACAAAAATCTTTTCACTGCGAGCAGTTCCCTGCAATTATCACAATATTCTTGTGAATCTTGATCTTCAACATCTGAGATCATATAAGATGACACTTTAAGGAAACTAATGTTCTCTAGAAGTTTTTATGCCTGTATTTCAGAGACAGGAAGGGGAGCTTAAAAAAGTGTATCTACTCCCTGTTGTACAAGAAAAATTTGAAGGGAAAATTAGACACACTCTAAATTAATATTGTTATCTCTCTATATAATTCCTATTTCAGCAGAATAAATAGAGATGACCAAGGACAATTACTCCTTGACAACTGAGTTTATCCTCACAGGATTTATGGATCACCCAGATCTGAAGATCCTTCTGTTTGTGGTGTTCTTTGCGATCTATCTGATCACCATGGTGGGGAATCTTGGTTTGGTGGTGTTAATTTTCATGGAACGCCATCTTCACACACCAATGTACATCTTTCTGGCCAACCTAGCTCTGATGGATTCCTGCTGTTCCTGTGCTGTTACCCCTAAGATGTTAGAGAACTTCTTTTCCGAGGACAGAATGATTTCTCTCTATGAATGCATGGCACAATTTTATTTTCTCTGCCTTGCAGAAACTGCAGACTGCTTTCTCCTGGCAGCAATGGCCTATGATCGCTATGTGGCTATATGTAGTCCACTGCAGTACCACACCGTGATGTCGAAGCTGCTTTGCATTCAGATGACCATAGGAATCTACATAGCTGGGAACCTGCATTCCATGATTCATGTAATACTTCTATTAAGGTTAACCTTCTGTGGATCTCATCAAATCCACCACTTTTTTTGTGATATTATTCCATTAAACAGACTATCCTGTACTGACCCCTTTATAAATGAACTAATGATATATATTTTTTCAATGCCTATTCAAATTTTCACCATAGCCACTGTCCTGATCTCTTATCTTTGCATCCTTATTACTGTTTTCAAAATGAAATCTAAAGAGGGAAGAGGCAAAGCCTTATCTACTTGCGCATCTCACTCTCTGTCTATCTTAATATTCTATGGTTCTATTCTCTTCATGTACATTTGGCCCCATTCAGATAAAGAAGGGGATAGTGATATACCAGTTGCTGTTTTTTATACTCTAATAATTCCTTTTTTAAACCCTTTCATCTATAGTCTAAGAAATAAGGCAGTGATAAGTGTTATGAAAAGAATTATGAAGAAAAGGAAACTTTATAACATTCAGAAACAAATATCATCATCTGTGATGAACTGATTTTAATTAGATAAAATTTTTGACATCAAGGATACTGAGGAAAGAAAAAAATGGCCACTTTGTACGTAAGTTTCCCTGGTGGTGCAGTGTCTTAGGCATTTGACTGCTAACCAGAAGGTGGGTGGTTAAAACACACCAGCCACTCCATAGAAGGAAGAAGGGGCAATATACTTCAATAAAGATTTACTGCCTTGTAAACCCAATGAGGGTCACTATGAGTTGGAATAGACTCCACTGCAGTGAGTTTTTTGGTTTATACATCAAAAATGAAAGCAGTAAAACATGATGATTTCTAAGTCAAATAGTGTATAAATAACCCTGGTAAATAAATTCAGAAACGAGGGAAGTTGTTAAAATGTATTTTAAAATCTAAACTACTAAAGTCTCTTAACAGCACCTCCCCCACCCCCACGCCTCCCAAAAAAACCTCACTGCCATTGGGTCAATTCTGACTCACTGAGACCCCCACTCGTTTCTGAGGCTGTAAATCTTTATAGAAGTAGATGTTGTTGTGTTGTTGTTATGTGCCATTAAGTAGCACCGACTCATAGCAACCCCCTTGGGTTTCTGAGGCAGTAGAAGTAGTGGAAGTAGATTGCCCTATCTTTCTTCCGAGGAGTGTGGCTGGTGGGTTTGAACCGCCAGCCTTCTGGTTAGCAGTCAAGTGCCTTAGGCACTATACTACCCCATCTTTCTTAGCTGAGTCGCTGGTGGATTTAAACTGCTGACCTTCTGGTTTGCAGCCAAATGCCTTATCCACCATGCCTCCAGAACTCTTAGGAGTGAAATTGACTACTCCCACAGGCACAAATAGTGTGAGTGGAATTAGCTACAATTTTAATATATCCAACAAATCCTAGGAATAGAAGCCAGTATATAAAGGTTGTTGTTGTTGTTATTTGCCGTGGAGTCGGCCCCGACTCACAGCGACCCCTCCTTGGGTTTCCGAGGCAGTATCACTATGGAAGTAGGATTGCCCAACCTTCCTCCCGAGAAGCGGCTGGTGGGTTTAAACCGCCAGCCTTCTGGTTAGCAGTCAAGTGCCTTAGGCACTACACTACCAGAGCTCCTGTATATAAAGGTAGCATCTGTTGATTATTGGCCAAATTATGGAATCCTTAAGCATGATATTATAAACAAATACATTTCAAGTTCTCACATGTTACTTAAATTACAGCATCTATCAGAATAAACTGTGCATTTGAACTAAATTCTCAACTTTTTTTGAGTTGTTTAAGAATTTATGCTTAAATATGGATTTATACAGTATATGTGTTCTTGAATCTAGAACATTTTTGTCTTTAGTGTTAGTCATTTTTCCTGTCAAGCTCTCTGAAGTAATATTTGTATAATAATTAATCAATCATTTGTCAAAAAATATTGATATTTATTTTGAAAGTCTTATGGATTAGAATGCTTTCTCCTAGTTTAATATTTGTCCATGATGTATGACAGTAAGATATATATCAAATTAAATAATTAATTAAAGAGTTTTTCCACATATATCATTACTTGTATTGTTTGTTATCGGGAATATAATCAATCTGTACTAATTCAAATATAAGTTAAAAACCAAAACCAAACTCACTACCATCAAGTTGATTCTGACTGATAGGACACCCACAGGGTTTCCAAGGCTATAAATCTTTACCAAAGCAGACAGCTCCTGGGGAGCAGCTGGTGGGTTTGTACTTCCCACCTTTTGGTTAACTGACAAACACCTTAACCACATCCCCACCAGAACTCCTTCCAGTGTGAGTTACTGGTATATTATCAACATTAAAAGAAAGCTGGAGATACTGCTAGCATAAATGAGGCAGAAAATAATGAAAATCTTAAAAAGCTAAACAACACAAAAAATATTTATTGATCCCTTAAATGTACAAATATGAAAGGAAAATGACTTCATGAGATCCCACTCTCTGCAAGACATAAAAGTAGACTTTTCATGTATATTACCTTCAAATAAGTTAAGCATTATTTTTCATGGTTTCTAGAGTAAAAAACTCATACTTTGAAATAGTAAGTAGCTTGCCCACTTTCATACAGGCATCTGGAATGGAGTCAGGATTTGAATCAATTATGTCTTTTTCCCATACTGTTTTATATCTCCTTTTGGAGAAACTTAAGTCACAGTTTATCTCAAGGTGTTTAAATCTAATAATGAAATTAGATATACACATATGGGGAAAAATAATGCACTCCCTGGAAGGAAGATTGGGCAATCTACTTCCATAGAGATATCACTTTGGAGACCCAAGTTGAATTGACTTGAAGGCAGTGAGTTTGGATTTTTGTTTTGTTTTATACACAAAATGCAAGGTTGCGTTGGCTATATAGCATGTACTTGAGACTTCAGGAAATGGAGATTAGTGTATTAGTGAGTATTTAATTATTAACTATCTTTAGGAGAAAAATATGTTTAAAGGGTGGACAAATTGATTTTTTTTTAAAAAACTGGTATAAAAACACGAGCAGAGTCAATGTTTATGGAAATGCACATGACAGTGGGGTAGGGAATGAAATTTCTAAACTGAAATCTATTAATTCATTGCTTCTGTTTATTTCCTTAGTCTTTGGATTTTGTCACATGCTTTTTCTGCATCAATTTGTATGATTATGTGTTTTTTTTTCCCTTTGTTTTATTTATATAGTGGATTATATTGATTATTTTTCTAATATTGAGTGATCTTATATACCCAGTATGAATCAAGAGGCTGGTATTTTGTCGTGAATTTTTGCATCAATGTTCAGGAAAGATGTTGCTGTTGTTGTTAGGTGCTGTCAAGTTGGCTCCAACTCATAGGGACTCCATGTACAACAGAATGCAACACTGCCCAGTGCTGCACCAGCCTCACAATCCTTGAGGTATATTGGTCTAAAATTTCCTTTTTTTTAGTGATGTTTTTGCCTGGCTCTGTTATCAGGGATATGCATGTTTCATAGAATGAGTTCAGTAGTATTCCATCCTTTTCCATGTTCTGGAACAGTTGAGTAGAATTGGTGTCATCTCTTCTCTGAATGTTAGGTAATATTCACCAGTGAAGTCATCTGGGACAGGACTTTTGTTTTGTTTTTATGACTGTTCCATTTACTTTTTTGTGATAGGTCTATTAAAATTTTCTACCTCAGATTGTGTTAGTTTGGGTAGGTAGTGTGTTTCTAGAAATTTGTGCATCTCTTCTACGTTTTATTGTACCCAGGCTATAAAGGAGATGCTCGGAAGAGAGGAATATGCCAACACATGACAATGCAAATGCACTAGGAAAGTTTATTAGCTAACTTAAGTTAGGGTCTTTGCCCTTACCAGGTCAGTGGCTTAAGCAAAAGACCCCGTGC